CATTCATTGAAGTTCGTTGAATTACCACACAGAGTAAACTACTTCTCACCCTGTTAGTGCTCACTAAAACTAAGATATTTGATAAATAGTAAGTTGTATAATACATTCTTAAAACTACATACAAACTGGAAGACAGCATAAAACTGTAAATTTAGAAGTTTTGAACTGAAAGATATAGGAAACAAATATGTATGAGATCCAGATTTGTTGTTATCTTCAGTCACAAAATTTCTTTAAAGAGATATAAATAGAAGAAATGAAGTTTTTAAAGAAATGTACCTTCTTACCTTGGTCATATTGTACATAGTGGAGAGGCTCTTCAGATTTCGTTGTATATGTCTTCAAAACATTATCTTGCAACAAAGCTTTTGCACGAAACAGTGAAAAACATCCTGGACTACAAAGAACACAGCCAATCACATGCTCTGTAGCTTTCTGAAGCCAATGACCAATGGCATACTCAAATTTCTGATACCAAACCATAAATCCTAAGAAGAAAGTGTCAAATCAAAACTAGCAAATACCAATTTCATTAACATGAATAAAGAATGTAATATGTTAAATACAATTAGCTTTTCTTTGGGCCTCATTTTAGATCATATTCTCCATTCTAGTCTGAAAAGTATGTATGATAATTAAATCAAAAAGTTTCTTATTGAAACTGAAAATTTTGTAGTCTTTGTGGAAATTGAGAGTATCCTGAAGAATAATGTTTTATTTTTTAGGGGTAGTTTATGTTTGACTTTAATGAGTCAACATTTTAGCTCCAACTTATTGAAATAAATCATCCATACATTTCTAACTAAATGTTGACCAGTATATTCACACATCTCTTACATAGATAAAGTATATTATATATAAATCAGAAATATTATATCAGGAATATAGTTAACTTGCAAATTAATTGGATTAACTTAAAAAACAAATAAGTACAATAAACACCAGTTACAGTAATGTACAGAGGTTGAGTATATTGTATTAAGATTATTTTGAAGCCTCACTACCTGTCCTGTCATGCTCTATCTGCTGATCGTGCATGTTGACTATAGCCCTGCAGTATAGTTGGCATTGCAAACGGCTTCATCATAAAGCTTTTATGCCCAAAGCACACCACTCCTTTCCTCCAGCTTTCAATAATTGAACTAGTTTACAAAGAAAAATGTTTCCTAGTGACTGTTTTAACAATCCACCAACTTCACTGGTATATCTTTACATATAATGTCATGAATAACTATTTCATTCTCCAGTTGCTAGAGATAAGTGATCGTTGAATTGGAGGTATGACTGAAAGCCTTATATTGATGAGCCCATATCTTGTTGCCAGACTGACTTTCTTTTTTATTATGTTGCTTACTGTTGCCTGTGTTTGTGAATTCTGACACATTATGAAATGTCCCATATTGCTTACTATAGCTGGAGTACACCCTATTGTAAGTATCTTTCTGGTTGATTCTTGTATTCTAAGTTAATCAATATTCCTTTCTTCTTCCAATTCCATTAAGTACAAAATATTTCACCATATTTGAATTCTAAATTCTTGACCAAACACATATTTATGGTCTGAACGTATGAATATTATGCTTCAGAAAGAGCTATTACATATCCTTTCCAAAAAGAGATAAATCTTTTGTGGCATCACACAACTACATGGAAGATGACAAGCGAAATATCGATGCAACATTAATTATGTGAGGATAAGGTTGCTTTTGATAACTTGAGGTAAAGCTGGCTATTATGTACCTGAACCAATTGTACGAATTCACCCACATGGAAGTAAAACTTAACTGAACCAGTTACATACCTGAACCAGTTGGATGAATTCACCCACATGGAAGTAAAACTTACTGTTACATACCTGAACCAGTTGGATGAATTCTACCTGAACCAGTTGGATGAATTCGTCCGCATGCTGCACCAAGGTTGTTGTTTCTCCTCATCAGGTCAACTAGGATGGAAACTGCAGGTGGCTGGAAACAAGTGTCACCATCTAAGGCCAAGATGAAGGTATTATCTCCCATTGCTTCCATCATGTTCTCATCTTCTTTACTCATGTTATAAAATTTATTTTTCAAAGAATTCATGAACTTATAACCAAGAATATAATACATGTACATAACCTGCAAAAGAAAAAAAATAATAAAATTAAATATCTTTTAACAAATATATTACAAAATAAATAACTTCTGTGACTATGCCTGTTCAGCACTAAATGTAAATAGACAAAATATTGCTATAACAATAAAGCTGCCAGAATTTCCTCATGTTTTTTGATGATGGACACAATAGTTTAGTATTTGTGACCTTGTAAAATTGTGATGGGACCTGATGTCGGACATCTGCAACACTGCACTACTGATACTATAGAAATGTTTACAGGATTGAATAAAAGTTTAACATATTTTATCTAAATACGTTTACTTTCATTATTTATGTTTATAGATTATCTGTAATAGAAACTTTTATAGAGTCTACAATTAAAAATGGAAGAAACTCATTTGAATACGAAATAAACAAACGTCAGAAGTCCATCAGATAAATCCTAATAAGAACACTTAATTTATCAGAACTTAGGTCAGACTTCATAATATTCGAACATTCAACACAACTATAGACATTTTAACAAGTTTTGTCAGTTCACGTTAAATAGAACTACTGGATTTATCAAAAACTACTCCAGACTTTATAATATAGGAATATTCAAAATACTATAGAATTTTTAACAAGTTTTATCACTTAACGTTAAACAGAACCACTTGATTTATCAGAAGTTATTCCAGACTTTACAGAACCTAGAAGTGATTTATAATCTTGCAAACATGTTAGAATGTTACTTGTATGTGAATTCTAGCCTTGTAAACATGTTAGAATGTCCTACTTAGACAAAAAAGTCCTAAATCAATACAATATTTTTTGTTTTTTTACCTTTGTAGGGCATTATGTATATTTTACTTTTCTAAAAAGTAGTCCCATAATATTTACTTATCTGTATTCAAAAAAGAATTATTTATCCTATGTGAAGAACAAATTACTAAATATATCATGATACTGGCAAATATTTAAAATAATACTGAAAAGAAAAAAAAAAACTGTTGACAACCTGGTAAAGCACACTACAATCAAACAAATAAAGCACAGTACTGACAAACAAATAAAGCACAGTACTGACAACTGGGTAAAAACAGTACTGACAATCAAATAAAGCACACTACTGAGAAACTAATAAAACACAGAACTATAAAACAAATAAAGCACACTACTGACAAACAAATAAAACACAGTACTGACAATTGGGTAAAGCACAGAACTACAAAACAAATAAAGCACACTACTGAAAAACGAATAAAACACAGTACTGACAAGTAGGTAAAGCACAGAACTACAAAACAAATAAAGCACAGTACTGATAACTAACCCAATTTTGGTTTTAAACTGTGTGTCTGATCTAATAATTTTGAGGCTAAGAAAGATAACTGTTTATTGTTTTCGTGTTCTATTGTAAATTTGATGTTGGGATGAATGGAATTTATCTGTTCAAAGAAAGTTAGTGTGTGTGTTCTATAGAAGTGAAACCAGCAAAAGATGTCATCGACATATCTGTACCAGTATATTGGAGGATGAAGCGCAGAATGCATGGCTTGTGTTTCGATCTGGGTCATAAATATATTGGCAAGAACGGGCGAAACAGGATTGCCCATACTTAAACCATCTATTTGAAGGAAATGTTCGTTGTTGAAAATGAAGTTGGTTTTAGTCGTTGTAAATTCTAAGAGAGAAGCAAAAAGTGTGCTGGGGATGTGGATTAACTTATTGGGGTCATTAATGTAGAGGTCGAGTTCGATATTGCAAGCTTCATTAGCGGGGACTTCGGTGAAGAGTGACACGACATCAAAATTCACCGCAACAACACACACACTGGCCTCTACACCCCCTGGAATTCCGCTCATGACACCACACAAAAAATCA